CCCCTTCTTCATCTTCATTCTTTTTATATCTACAGGATGCTGGTTTTTTTTCTTAATGAAAGTCTATAAAACATATATATTTTTTTTCCTTGGGTTATTTTTCGTTTACTTTCTTTTTTCTTTTTTGCTTTCCTCCTAATGTTTACAAAATGATTAATCAAGGAATAAAGTTTGGGACCTTAAGGCTAGTGAAATATTTAAATTTTCTTCACATTCACTGATTATTTTAAATATGAAAAGAAGAAAGATGGTGAAATAAACTTTACATAATTTATGTGCAGTCATTTATGGTAAATACATTTGCAGCAAAAACAAGCTCAGAGTAAAATCTGACTTTAGTTACAGAGTTTAGATTTTTCCACATATAGGATTGTCTTCCTATGTAGGCACATAGGCTTTTAAAAGTACTAAAGATGCAGAAAGGAGAGTGAGCACACATTCTGTTTCCCCAGACAGTCTTGTTAATGATGGTTGTGTTCTGTCTCCTCAGTGCCCCCTTTTACTCTACAACGTGCTTTGCTTTGGAGGATAAATTTGTGGTCACCCTGGAGATAAGCCATATAAAAACTGTGTGAAAATAGTGTGATCAATAGCTGAAATACTTCAAACTAAAGACAAATTTTTCAAAAGACTCTCAGAAAAGTTTGAGTTTCAGTGTTGAGCACTTTAATGTGTTAGACAAGTTCAAAAAATTCAGCACAGAATACAGACTAATGAAAACAGGCTCATTTAATTGATTAAAATATGCGTGCTTTCAAGGCATTACTTTCACATAGAGAGGCTTTCAAAGTTTTTAAAGTTAATAATTTTAAAAGAACCCCATTAGAAAAGAATCATTTAAAAGGTCAAATTTAGGCTGGGCGCAGTGGCTCACGCCTGTAATTTCAGCACTTTGGGAGGTCGAGGCTGGCAGATCACGAGGTCAGGAGTTTGAGACCAGCCTGGCCAACATAGTGAAACCCTGTCTCTACTAAAAATGCAAAAAATTAGCTGGGTGTGGTGGTGGTCACCTGTAATCCCAGCTCCTTGGGAGGCTGAGGCAGGAGAATCGCTTGAAGCCGGGAGGTGGAGGCTGCAGTGAGCTGAGACCGTACCACTGCACTCTAGACCTGGTGGCAGTGCAAGACTCTGGCTCAAAAAATAAATAAATAAATAAAAGGTCAAATTTAAAAGATATTTGAAAAATTTTTAGATTTTCAGACTCCATCTCTAGTAAAATCAACAGTTGTACTAGAGTCTCAGAAAAAGGAATGACATTTTTAAATCATAAACGAGGATACTCTATGTGTGTGTGTGTATGTGTATGTGTGTGTGTGTGCATGTGTGCGTGCATGCTATAGACTGATTTGGAACACTTCTGAAACCTATTAGTTCCCTTCTAAGAAAAATATTTGCTAAATGCATAAAACAAGATACAAAGTATTATAATGGAAATAAATTACATTGAAATGCAACTCTTAAAATATCAAAATATATATATTTTAAAGTTTGGTAAAGTAATATATGAGCGTTTCAGTAACTCATTAAATACTAGTGAGCAGAAGATCTAATAACAATAATAATTACCAAGTAGCAATGAGCAAAAATGATATTTTCAGGTTGTGCACAATAGCTATAATGTGATCTGAAAAGTCACAGTACTGTTCCTGCTACTCACATTTGCTTATTACTTTCACAATTGGAGGAAAGGCCATATTTCAGTTAAGAGGTTAGTGAAAATAAAGTTGTAATTCTTCCCAACCAAGTTCATGAGCTTTTTGTATTCTATCCTTATCATTACAACACTAAGAAAGCCTAGAAGTCAAACAAGTTTGTCATAGGTGCTCACTTAATAAATCAAATAATTACTCTTTCTTGTAATCAGACTACGAAACTACGTTTCCAAAAACAAAAAGCCCACTGAATGGTTTTTTTCCCCTATCTAATAAAGGTTTTCACTGTAAATTCATCTCAGTTCATTGTGTGGGTGAAAGCAGTCAGATAAAATGTAGTATAGACACTGAATGTATTGAAAGAAAACAAAGTGGGTGCTTTGTAGGATTTTTCTAAAAACCAAACGGAAAAGTCTTGGAAACACAGACGCGACATTTTATCTTAAGCATTATATCTCTTTATCCTATCACTAATATTTAAAAGCTAAATTATATTTTTGCACAGTTTTTCTTCATTTGCATTTTCTTATTTTAATTTTACAGTGTAATGTATTAATTGACTGTTTACACTTTCTTTTCCAAAACGTTGAATGAAATCCAATAAGCAAGGACACCAAATATGTACATGCACAGCAAGGCCCCTCAGCCACAGCAGCATCACTTCCTGGAACAGACTACAAGTGAAAAATGAGTGGTAATTAAACACAGCTGCTGCCCAAGAGGTAAGGTAGAATCATAGATCATTAGAACCTAAAGGGACCGGAGAAGCCATTTTGTCTAACCCTTCACTTTGCAAATGAGGAATCAGAGACAATGAGTAGTTAGGAGACTTGGTTTGGGCCAAGGATGACCCTGGAGAAGCATCAGTGATGTCTGATAGTTAAAGTAACACTCTTCTTACCACTTCTCAGGGCGAGTCCTGTTCCTGAGTCTGCTTCTATCCAAGCATAGCTATCGAGATAAGGGGTTACAGTCAACTAGAAATACATCTTATTTATAGATTTTTGCTTCCAAATATGCCAAATTAGAAGACTTACATGGTTGATCCCATCTCTAGAACAGAGGACTTAAAAGATCAAGAATTTGTTTTGAATACTTTTCAAAGTCTGATTTATTAGCTATGTTATTCTAACCAGTGAAAATCCAGTAAAACCATCCCTAATTTTATCTTAATTTTTTAAATGGCTTTTCTTTCTGATTATAAAATGAATCATATATGTTAATTATAACAAAGACAAATGAAGAAGAAAATAAGCAGCCACATCCCAAGATGTAATACTGGTAATATTTTAGCATATTTTTCTAGTTATATATGTATGTATGAATACAGAGCTATATACACATATTATACATTAGTATAATATTGCATATAAAATTTTATATTCTGCCTTTTCTCCTAGCATTATACCATGAAAATTTTCCCCACTGAATTAAAATTATTTCCAAAACATCGTTAATATGAAAGTCTGTGTCTGGATGTTATTAAAGCAATAACGTTTAAAGACATTACAATATATAAAGTTATTTCATATAATTTCTGATCACTGGATTTTTAGGTTATCACTGGACCATGTAACTCTACTGCAGTAAATTTCTGTAAATCAAAAATATTAAAAATATGTTTATGAGATAGCCTTTAGATAGATTTAAATGCAAATCTAAAATTACTGGAGGAAAATGTATATAATATTCCAGGAAATCAGAGAAATGAAAACTCAGAGATACCACTTACTGCTATTAAATGCAGAATTTCTAAAAGGTATTGTATCAATAGATTTTGACAGGGCTCTGTAAAGTTACGATGGAACACAGTGCTCATACAAGGAAGTAGCAACTGGTGCAAATATTTAGTGCCTGGCACATCACAGGAGTACAATAAATATGTTTGTTGTGTGAACAAATGGAAATTAATTTGTGAATACGTATCAAGACATCTCAGTATAGTTATGCTCCTTAACTGATAATATTATTTAAGGGAATATATACAATATATACACTTAGGTAGTCACTGCAATATTCTTAAAAGACAAAGATTGGTCACAACCAAATGCCTAAGATTCATATAATGGTTAAGTAAATGATGTAGGTCTATAGAGCCAAGAATCCTTAATTTTCACATTAATTTAAGAACTACACTAAAATCATACATGTGTTGCCTGTAATTCTTAGCTTAAAATGATTGAAATATTTTAAATACTAGCATATTTAATCTCTTGGTGTAATATTTTATTTAATTCTTTTAATGAAATACAGGTTTAGCATCCCTAATCTAAACACCTGAAATTAGAAATACTCCAAAGTCCGAAACTTTTTGAGCCCTGATGTTATGCTACGAGTGGAAATCCACCCACAAGTACTTAACACACATTTTGTTTCATGAGCAAAATTATTTAAAATATTGTATAAATTTATCTTTAGGCTGTGCATGTAAGGTGTATATGAAACATAAATGAATTTCATGTGTAGATTTGACTCCCCTCCCCAAGATGTAACATTTTGTATATACAAATATTTCCAAACTGCTGGAAATTCAAACCCTGAAACACTTCTGGTCCCATACACTTTGGAAAAGGGATACTCAACCTGCAACTATTAATTTTAAAATTGAAGAAAACCGCCGTGTTTGAAAAAAACCCTGAGAAGGCTAGGCGCAGTGGCTCATGCCTGTAATCTCAGCACTTTGGGAGGCTGAGGTAAGCAGATCATGAGGTCAGGAGTTCGAGACCATCCTGGCTAACACTGTGAAGCCTTGTCTGCCAAAAATACAAATAATTAGCTGGGTGTGGTGGTGGGCACCTGTAGTCCCAGCTACTTGGGAAACTGAGGCAGGAGAATGGTGTGAACCCAGGAGGCGGAGCTTGCAGTGAGAAGAGATTGCATCACTGCACTCCAGCCTGGGTAACAGAGCGAGACTCCGTCTCAAAATCAAACGAATGAACGAACAAACAAACAAACAGTAAAACCCTGAGAAGCCCAGATGAATAGATGAAAGAACTATTAATATTGTCTTCCTTCCAAACTACATTCTTATAGTCAATTTCAGAAGTGCCACTCATTTGTTTCTCCTCATATACTATAGAAGATAGGGCCAGAGTTTCCTTTGATAGTGACACCAACAGTGAGAGAAAGTCATGACTTTCTGTTTTCCCAGCTCCATCACTTAGATAACCCTGTTGTTTCCTCTTGCTAATTGTAGCTAGGCTCACTATTGAAAACTGTGTTGAATCTCTTTCCCCTTCTTCACCACCCTGCCGCCTTATACACACACACACACACACACACACACACACACACACACACACAGAGTTGGAGAGGTAACCCTTTAACAAACAACAGGAATCACAATACCTTTATAAGTTCTGAGGGTTCACTTCCTTCTTCCACGACAATTAGTTCAGACCTTCCTTTCCTTTCATTGTAACGAATGCCAGTAGCTACCTGGTTTGCCTTCAGACGTTCATATTTGTTGCATGAGGAACCACACCACTGATAAATTTTCTAAAAGAAAGAGAGAGATCTGTTGACCCTAAGAATATGAGGAAGACATTTAGCCTCAGTGTAATACTTTGATTAATTAGGAAAGAAAAAGGAAAATTAAATGACCTGTTGTTAAGGTGTATACATAATTGTTATACTTCACTCTGCATTCTGCTGCTTTCAGTTAGCATTACAAAGTAAGCAGTTTTTAAGCATGGAAAATATAATATATATATCACCTTTCTCTGTGTATAGAATCTATAAATTACAATTTATAAAAGTAAACATATGGATAAAATTTGAAATAATAAATATATCACACTTCAGAAAAGAAGTCAAGAATCTGTTAAGATACTCTTGATGATCATAAAATTAATATAACACTTTTGTAAAACTATTCATGTTTTTAAATTGACAAATACATATTGTATATATTTATTGTGTATAACATGATGTTTTGATATATGTATACATTGTGGAATGGCTAAATCAAGATAATTAATATATGTAAAGCAATTTAACAATTCTTATCAAGAGCAATAAAAAGATTGATACTGTCCCAGTAATATCACTATCTGGCACTTACTTTAATAAATAATTCATTAAAGGAGAAAAAAACACACATATAAGGGTGCTCATTGCTATGTGACTATATTGGTGAGGCCGTGGAAAGGCATTAATTGTTCAAGAATAGGATAATAGTCATATAAATTGTGATACATAGGGAAAATTTGATACTTAACTGTTAAAATTAAACTTTAACATCAAAACATGAAAAAGTAGAAACAGAATAACCGGGTGATATATTTTAGCAATTATATTTAGATTAAACTACTCTATATTTTAGATTGTAGATTTTAGTATAGTGTCCAGAAGGTATACAGATACAAATGGAAAATAATAATAAAAAATTATCTCCTCCATTAACATTGTTTACCAAAAGAAAGAAAGAGAAGTTGAATAACAACCAGAACTGGAGGGGCTGTGGGAATGGGCATTTTCATCCACTATTTGGGTGGTATAAACTGACACAGGTTTTTTAAGGGTAGATTGGCATCATTATAAAAAAAATTAAGGCTGGGTGCAGTGGCTCATGCCTGTAATCCCAGCACTTTGGGAGGCCAAGGTGGGCAGATCACGAGGTCAGGAGATCGAGACCATCCTGGCTAACATGGTGAAACCCTGTCTCTACTAAAAATACAAAAAATTAGCCAGGTGTGGTGGCAGGTTCCTGTAGTCCCAGGTACTCGGGAGGCTGAGGCAGAAGAATGGCTTGAACCATTCATGAGATCACGCCACTGCACTCTAACCTGGGGGACAGAGCGAGACTCTATCTCAGATAAATAAGTAAATAAATAAATGTGCTTTTAATGTCAAGAAATTCAATTTATAGGAATCTATGATACAGAAATATTCAAACATGAGATATAAAAACAAAAGACACTGTTGCAGGAAGTCAGGGACCCCGAACGGAGGGACCGACTGGAGCCACAGCAGAGAAACATAAATGTGAAGATTTCATGGACATTTATCACTTCCCAAATAATACTCTTATAATTTCTTATGCCTGTCTTACTTTAATCTCTTAATCCTGTTATCTTCGTAAGCTGAAGATATACGTCACCTCTGGACCACTATAATTGTGTTAACTGTACAAATTGATTTTAAAACATGTGTGTTTGAACAATATGAAATCAGTGCAGCTTGAAAAAGAACAGAATAACAGCAATTTTTAGGGAACAATGGAAGACAACCATAAGGTCTGACTGCCTGCAGGGTCAGGCAAAAAGAGCAATATTTTCCTTCTTGCAGAGAGCCTATAAACGGACCTGCAAGTAGGAGAGATATCGTTAAATTCTTTTCCTAGCAAGGAATATAAATATTAAGACCCTAGGAAAGGGTTCCTCCTGGGGGAAGGTCTATAAATGGCCACTCTGGGAGTGTCTATCTTATGTGGTTGAGATAAGGACTGAAGTATGCCCTGGTCTCCTGAACTATCCTCAGGCTTACTAGGATTGGGAAATTCCAGCCTGGCAAATTTTTGGTCAGACTGGTTCTCTGCTCTCGAACACTGTTTTCTGTTGTTTAAGATGTTTATCAAGACAAAACATGCACAGCTGAACACAGACCCTTATCAGTAGTTCTGTTTTGCCTTTTGTCCTGTTTCCTCAGAAGCATGTGATCTTTGTTTCCTTTCTGTCCTTTGAAGCATGTGAGCTTTGTGACCTACTCTCTGTTCTTGCACACCCTCCCCTTTTGAAATCCTTAATAAAACTTGCTGGCTTTAAGACTCAGGTGGGCATCATGGTCCTACTGATATGTGATGTCACCCTCGGAGGCCCAGCTGTAATATTCCTCTCTTTGTACTCTTTCTCTTTATTTCTCAGCAGGCCGACACTTATGAAAAATAGAAATAACCTACTTTGAAATATTGGTGGCGGGTTCCCATGATATCTGGCGCCCAACGTGGGGCTCAAACCCAGCACCCTGAGATTAAGAGTCTCATGCTCTACTGACTTCCCCCGATAAGAAACAAAACAAATGGCCATCAATAAGAGGATGGCTAAATAAATGTCATTGCATGAATGCTGTCTACTCCTCTTCAGTAGTTAAAAATTAAGGAAAATGTTTAAATACTGATGTAGAAAATTAGTGAAGGTATATCATCAAGAATACAATAAAGACATAGAATAATATAATTACGTTAAAGTAGAAACAAAAACACAAGCTCTGTCTCTGTGTTTGCACAAAAAAACGATAAACAGTTTTAAGAGATTCAGAGGGCATGCATATGCAGAAAGAAAGCCTTCAATGTTTACTGTATCTAAGTCAGTGATTTTTTTGTTTGTTTTTATGTCACATACATTTCTAGGTGCTTATTATGCTGGGGACACACAGATAAATTAGAAAAAACTAGCAAGGAGAGGTGGACAGGTAGAAAAATTGGCTAATACATTTGCACTGTGCTTAGTTTTCACAACATTCCCACACACATTTCATCTAGTCAGCCATGTAGAGTTGTGGTTAAGTGTGAGGGAAATGGAGCTAGGCTGCCACTCTCTGGGTATTTGATAGTGTGTTTGCAATTTTTCAAAAGAGTAAATAAATTAGAAATAGCACAAGAAAACATTCAGAGAAATGGACTCTTTTCTCTGATTACATTTCCAGCCCAGAGTCATTTCTTCACTCAAAAAATGGTTTACTGAGTGACTAAAATGGGGCCGCCTCTCTTGTAGATACTGGAAGCACCATTCTGAACAAAGTAGGCTTGCAACAGTCTCTATGACCGCTGCTTAACATTCCTGATTACCTAGTCCACAGTCTTCCTTAAGAATAAAACACGCATTTTAGGAATGCAAAACTTTATAAGAAATAAAATCAAAAGGACTATGTCTAGCAATCTTTTTCTCTCAAGAATTGAATGCAGTTATTTTGTATGGTCAAAGGGCATGGTCAAAGGTCAAAGTATAGTAAAACCATATCTAGGAAATACTCACAAAAATAGTAAAACTTTAAATTATTTCTAAAAGAATAGTGCACTTCTACTGTTTCTTTTTAACCTCTTTTCTACATTTGGGCATTGGAATATGAGGCTCACATGTGGAGGTCATTTGAATACCATGACAAAGTTAGCAGTTAGAAAGAGTGAAAATAACGGACTCCCACTGATCAGTCAGCTCTTAGCCACTGACCATTAAAATCAGATAATGGAGTAGCAAGGTAATTTTTAAAAATACAAAGATGTGAGTTCTATCTTTAGGAAATCTCAGGTGTGTTCTGGGCAGCTGTGTTTATTAAAAGCTCCCCAGGTGATTCTAGTATTCGACCAGTGCACACCAGGTATGATGTACTCTGAGCACACCACACTTGTTGTGCACGATAGGGAATCTGTAACATCTAATTATCCAATGCAACTCAGCAGACTTTTCTGTTGAGCACAAACTAGTGTTTTTGTTTTGAAAACATTTTACTTATACTTGACTCATGACAGAGAAACATTGACCCTATAAATCAGAATATTTTTTCCTACATGTATCTTTGTTTTTGTTTTAAATTTTTAATTTCAGTAGATTTTTTGGGAACAGGTGGTATTTATTTAGATGAATAAGTTCTTTAGTGGTGATTTCTGAGATTTTGGTGCTCCCATCACCTGAGCAGTGTACAGTGTACCCAATGTGCAGTCTTTTATCCCTTACCATCCCTCATCCTTTCCCCTGAGTCCCCAGTGTCCAATGTATTATTCTTATGCCTTTGCATCCTTGTATCTTAGCTCCCACGTATCAGTGAGAACATATGTTTGGTTTTCCATTCCTGAGTTACTTCACTTAGAATAATAGTCTCCAATTCTATCCAGGGTGCTGTGAATGCCATTATTTCATTCCTCTTTATGGATGAGTAGACCTAAATCTAAGACCTGAAACCATAAAGATTCTAGAAAATAACATTGGAAAAACCTTTCTAGACATTGGCTTAGGCAAAGACTTCATGAACCCAAAGCAAATGCAACAAAAACAAAGGTAAATAGATGGTACTTAATTACACTAAAAGGCTTCTTCACAGCAAAAGAAAGAATCAAGAGTCAACATACAACCCACAGAATGGGAGAAAATATTAGCAAACTATGCATTTGACAAAGGACTAATATCAAGAACTACAAAGAACTCAAACACATCAGCAAGAAACAATCCCATCAAAAAGTGGGCTAAGGACATGAATAGACAGTTCTTAAAAGAAGATACACAAAAGGCAACAAACATGAAAAAATGCTCAACTTCACTAATTATCAGAGAAATGCAAATCAAAACCACAATACAATACCACCTCACTCCTGCAAGAATGGTCATAATGAAAAAATAAAAAATAATAGATGTTGGTGTGGGTGTGGTGAAAAGGGAACGCTTTTATACTGTTGGTGGGAATGTAAAGTAGTAACGACCACTATGGAAAACAGCGTGGAGATTCCTTAACAAACTAAAAGTAGATCTACTGTTTGACCCAGCAATTCCACTAATAGGTATCTA